TGGGAAGCATATCTTGGATACAAGATAGAAGCCTATTACCAGCTGATCAGGAAGCTCATACAGAAAGTTGCTGATAGAAAACTGAATTCAAATATGTCCGCCAATGTTTCTCCACGTGACTTGTACATTATAATCACTTGGGGAAGATTTAAATAAATATCTGCCTAGTAGCCAATCTAAGTAACTTAAAATCAGAATCTCTGGTGGATAGAGATTGGGCATTGCTATTTAAAACAAAAACTGTACCAATGTTCTAAGCTAACACTGAGAAACACTAGTCTACAGTGTTCTCAGCCTTAGCTGCCCATGGTAAACACCTGGGTATCTTAAAAAAAATCCTGAGCCCAGGTTCTACTCAAAGTAGATTCCAATTTAATGACTTTGGGTTTTGGCTTGGACATCAGGGCTTTTAAAAAGTCTCTAGATGAATCTAATGCACAAGATTCATGGTCTACAACCACACTGTCCAATATGGTAGCCTCTGGCCACAGGTGTCAGTTAAAGCACATGTCACTAGTCTGAATTGAGATACGCTTTAAGAATAAAATACACACTGGATTTCAAAAGCTTATTATAAAAATAATACTGTAAAATATTCATTAATAGTTTTAAATTGGTTACATGTTGAAATGCTAATATTTTAGGTATTTTGGATTAAATTAACTTTTTTTTAAACCTTTTCAATATGGCTACTAGAACCTTCAAAATTATTGTGTGATTCATTATATTCCTTTTGGACAGAGGTTATTACACGTTTCCAGCCTAAAGTTCCAGTTGGTCCTAAGAACTACAGTGAGCTGACCCTGGGGTAAACCTGGGAGCAACTCCTGAGGAAGGAAAATGGCCTGTGGCCAGAAATCTTCATCCCTTATACAACCCCTCTTTTGTCATAAAATTAACAAACATCAGGGCTAAAGGGAGCATTAAAAGTCATCCAGTTTAACTCCTTCATCTTGTAGGAACTATATATTTTACTGTGTTGTCCTGAATGAAATTTTCCCAATTAGCTATTCTTACTTGGTAACAAGTTTTCTCCTTTAATAATGTAAATAACTTGAGACTAAAGAAACTATTATTCAATGAAACAAGAAATCAAACAAATTCAATCAGGTGGCTTTCCTCATAACACCTAAGGGAAGGCTGTGGGGTGGGGAGGTGGGATAACTGGGAAAATGCCCTGGAGAACAGGATGACCTCAGAGAGGTCTTACAAAAGGCACCATGAATCTGAGTGGACCTGGAGGAGATAGTGAAATAAAAAGGACACTAAAAGGGAATCGAGAAGTTTTTTACTTCAAAATTTTGCCTGTTTCCAAGGAAACAAGGGAAAGAAAACTAGACTTCCTTTCTTGCAGTTCCCTGACTAATTCTAAGGTATTATAAGTCCAGTGATATCAAAAGTTAAATAGGCTTTTAAAAATTAAGAATTGCCCATGTAAAACACTAACTGCTAAATGGAAAATTCCTCACAAAACTTACCTATAAACAGCACCTGGATTTTATAAATGGTAACACATGGGATATACATGGATAAAACTAAGTATATAATATACTCAGGGGGTGGTAGCTTTCCAGCTCGGAGTTTTTGTAGTTTTGAGGGCTAACATCCTTGAGTTGGATTCTTTGGGCAAAAAGGTAAGTGTTCATTTCCCCCTCCTGTACCAGAGTCTGCCTGGATGGATGGTTTAACAGTCAGGAACAGTAAGATGGCCCCAGGAGTCAACCTGATTGGTAAGTTTTTGACAGCCAAAAATTATGTAAATAAATTATATTTCATGTACCTTAAGGAAGGTTTATGTTTTTCCTTTCACTTCCTCATAAGAGATTGCTGATCATTTAAAACCAGATTTTTATGTGCAACAGTAGCAAATGCAAGATTCTTCATTAAGGTTAGGCATTCTGCTTTGGGGTACAAAAATAGAACTTCAGGAAGGTGGAAAAAAGAAGGTCTGGCTAAGGAAAGAGGGCTATATGAAGAAATGATTTCAAATTGGTATTTTATTCTAAATGAATTATTGGCTCACAAACAAACAAAAAAATACCCAAAAAAATACCCCACGTAATCTTTGTGAGAAGACCCAAATCAGACTGCAAATTTTAACAATAAGAGAAAATTCTAAAATTGCGAGAGCTATATGTTCTGTCAACAGGTTTATAAATGCTTAGATCCTCACTTGTATCTTGGGGGCTTTATTTTTCCCAGTTTATAAACCAAGATCCACTGCCCGGAACTCTAAGCATCAAGTTGTTTTCTGACTAAGTTTCAGAAATGTCTCTTTGTCCAGTGCAGTTCATTTAAAACCCTCAGACATTGTTTATCTGTCTTTCTCCATAGCAAATGGTTTGGATTTGACTGAGTATATAGTCAATTACCTCTTTACTGAAAAAAACACTTTATTGCCCCCAAATGAGAGGCCTGTGAGCTTAACAGATTTTTCGTCTTGAATGTAAACTGATTTCCTTCTTGCTTAAAAAACAGGTCTGTGGTTCTCAGATTTCATTAGGAACTAGAATTAAGGCACAGAGAAGCAACTGCAAGAGAACCCGGAGAGGCTCTTATAAACTAGCGTCACTAAACCTCACAAACACCTGAGGAAAGTGTGGCAACAACGGAATTCCTAGCAGGGCTTTTACTATAAGGTTCCTGCTTTATAAGAAGTTATTACTTTAAAAATTACTTATAATGCATACAAGTCTAACTTATTAGAATAACATTGGCCCAAATAAACAAGTATATTTATCTATGACACTGCTGTATAATTTTTATTAAAATGATATCACTTTTCCTTGTAATTATTAATGGAACTCCTGGTTTTTGATGGAGTACATGGTCAACCAGAATAGACTACATTTCTCAGCTGCCCATATACCTAGGTATGGATACTAAATAAGTTCTATCCAATGAGATAAAAGTGGAAGTGATGAAAACAACTTTTAGGAAGCATTATTAAAGCGAGAGGGGAGAGTGAGTTAAATCATAACTCCCTGAAAGATATGTTTACCTGAAAACTAAAAATGTGAGCTTATTTGGTCAAAGGGTCTTTGTAGATGTAATTAAGCAAAGGATCCTGAGACAAGATTGTCCTGGATTTAGGGTGGGCCCTGAATCCCATGACAAAGGTCCTTATAAGAGAAAGGCAGAGGGACAGTTGAGACCCAGAGACAAGCAGAAGAGATGACACTGTGAAGACAGAGCAGAGCTTGAAGTTATGCAGCCCCAAGCCAAGGACACCCAGAGCCTTGGTGTTCCTTGAAGTGAAAAGAGGTAAGGATTTTTCTCCAGCAGGAACTTTGGAGGGAGGATGGCCCTGTCCCACCTTGATTTCAAATTTCTGGCCTCCAAAACTGTAAGAAAATTAATTTCTTTTGTTTTAAACCACCAATTTCCTAGCAATTTGTTTCAGCAGCCCTAGGGAACTAATACAGAGGGCATACCTTCTTCTTTGCCTTCCCCTTTCCCACTGACTGATAATAAAGGCTGCACCTCCAAAAGCAACATGGCCCCATGAAAGAGCCTTGGAAATGCCAGGAGGGCACCCTGCCCCCAGATTCACTATTGGAACCAATTACCTCTGGAGTTCTTAAAATAGATAAGAAATATCTTCATTAAACCATTACTGTTACTCACATCTATACCTAATGCTGACCAATACCTCTTATATGATGCTTACCTTGTGAGGTTAGCTTGTCATCTTCCTGAGAGCCAACCTGATTTGGGATTCATCTCTGTATTCCTTTTATGTGTTGATGTTTGTACCTTACACAGCATGGCCACTCAAGTATTTGTTGAATGAATGGGTGGGTTTAATTTTAAATCTTCCTGTTAGTTTATAGAAGATTAAGTTTCTGAACTTAATCAAAACCAATCAAATTAATTAATAAATCAAATGCTGAAGTTTAACAATAAAGTCTACTCTGTGGTGATAGGCACATAAAAGGAATTCAAAGGAAATTAGGAGATTGTAGCCACTTTTAAGAAAATGTAAGAGACAGAGGTACAACTTGTTTTTAAGTTCTCACAGTTTTTTAGTTTCTACTCCCCTCTTCTTCCTATTCTTGCCCAAATGAAAGGTCTTTTTCTCACAGTAATGTGTCTGTAGAACATGACAGAAAATTCTCGAGGCCTAAATAATGACCCATAGAAAGAGAACTAGAAAGTGAAATTCAACAGTCTTCTACCAAAATCATAATCTCAGAATAGAGCTAGGGACATCAAATTATAACTTACAGTGTATGGCGGGGGTACGGGTGAGGGCTTTTATAGGAATATGTCTTAACTTCTCCAAAGCTAACATCTTCCATTGGTGAAGGTGGGGAGTTGACAGGTAAATTTGAGAAAACTTCAAATCCAAGCAGCTATTAGCGACAAAGTGACACAACTTGTCACTGGCCTTAGAGAGAAGGAACAAGGAGAGTGATTCACATTTCTTCTTCTTTTAATTTATAATTGACAATGCCAATGTTTCAATAATCAGGAAAGGGTGAGATTTGTAAACTTACTTGTGCATGTGGCAGTAGCTGGAGTAGAGCAATGACAACAGGCTTGCCAATAATAACATGCAAATTTGGTGTTAACACAAGTCTAATGCGCATGATTTCCAGATTCCTATTGTCCAAATGTTCAGAGTGATTTCTTTTCATTTCACTTCCCTACATTTAAATATCACTTTGGTTCTCAATGTCCTATAGTCAGGTGTGCCTATTAAAATAAGATCGACTCCAAATATATTCAAACTCAACATTCAAAGTCACTTGAAGTAACAGAGTAAATAAAAGAATAGATGATTAGCATCGTCACAGCTAACTCTTAACACGTACATGTATTTGTTCAATATTAATATATATAAAGCACTCTTCCCAATTCCAGGATTACAAAATTTAATCAAACTTGGATCTGTTTTTCAAAAAGTTTATTTTTCATAGATGAATGAAGCAGAGATTAATAGCTGTCCCTTAGATCATCCTCTTTCCCCTCTGGTAATGTAATCTCTCTCTCTCTCTCTCTCTCTCTCTCTTTTTTTTTTAATTAGGCATGTGGCCCTGTGGAATAAAGCCTGCCTTTTCAACCGACCTGATTGCTAGATATGGACATGTGATTCAATCCTGGCTAATGGAATAGAGGTAGAAGTGGTGCATACAACTTGCAGAAAGCATCCTTAAAGTGCAAAGGTAAGGTTCTTCTTCTGTCTTCAGCTGCTTAGATTGCTGATATAATGGCCCCAACTTGAGCAACCATCTTGGACCATGAGGTTGGAGCCATATGCCAAGTAAGGCAGAGCAACAACACAGAAGGATGTAGGTTAGTGACACTATGGAAGACAGAGACAACTCTTAGCTGCCTCCTTCTGGACTTTATTTATATGAATGAGAAATCAAAATTATATGTTTAAGTTCTTATTTTGGGTAATTAGGTAATTTTTAGCTACATGGAGTTGAGATCAATAGTTAACACTTGGATACAAAATGCTTATAAAACATGGGAACGGCCATTTAGAGAGCAAAATAAAATGTTGAGGTTACATAGAAAATCAAGGATTAGTTCCAGATGGAGGAATCAAGAACGGCATATAGAAACAGTTGCTTTTGAATCACACAGGTTTTGGGTATGTGGAAATGAGGTAAAGAAAGTGCATTCCAGTGAGAGGTATGGGATATTGGTGGGAAATAGATGTGAAAGGGTAGCCCAGAGTCAAACAGTGTATAGGCTTGAATACCATCATAAGACGTTTGGGCTTTGCTCAATAGGCAATGGGGAGTCATCAAAAGCTTTTGTATTTGACCAGTAAGTATTCTTTTGGGGGAAGATGATTGAGAAGTCATATAATTATGGAGCATATTCAGTCCTTGGTAGTGGGTGGGAACACCTAGTGATCCTAAGATAGTTTTTTCCAACCTTTTTCATATAAAAGTATGCATAGAAGTAGTATTTGTATAGCATCTGGGTTAAATGAATGAGGCTGGGTACACCGAGGGCAACTGGCCCATGCAGAACTGCTCCAGGCCCCACCTAGGAATCCTGACAACTTTGAGGATCAATATAACAGCATACATGTTATCTATTCCCTTTGTGGTATTGCAGTTAGGAAGCTCTGCCACAGGGATGTTTTATTTAGACATATTTATGTGAATGATTTAGAAATGGAACTGGAGTGAAGTAAAATATTACATTCCATGATAAGGGTTGGTACCTTTGCTTTCTATATAAACCCTGAAGAGTATCATTCAATAAAATGAGAGTGCAGATGATGATGACATTACAATGCATATATCTCTCTCCATCCACACATATTATATATATGTATATATATGTAGATATACATATATAGAGACATATACATATATCAAGGAGAAATGCAGAAACCATTCCAACTTTACCAAATATAGTTTTATATTCATTTTTATAAACAATTAGACACATTTTGGAAATTGTTCATTTTCTCACTTCAGTGACTAATATTCTCACCCCCTACACCCATGCCATATGGCTTTTTCCTATGTTCCTTTTACATGTAGGAGAGGTTGGAGACAGGGCTAGGCTCAGGGGAGCCAAAAGCATGCAACTCAACTCCATAACTAAAAACTCTTTTGAGTTTGTCACAATGACCAGTCTCTTTGAGATTCTAGTTGATCCCCATTATTAATAAAGAAAAAAAGGATTAGTAAGAATAAGAATAACTAATAGGTACTAATTGTCTGGTGCCAGTCACTATATACAAATATCCTATTTCAAGTTCACAACAGCACAAAGAGGTACTGTTATTATCCCCATTCTAAAGGAAATCTAATTTAAGGACAATTTAAGTCCTTCTCCATTTTTCTCTTGCTAGTACTGAAAAAAATCAAACTATGAACTGTAGTAAGTTATTTGGGTGATAAATGCTTGGAGTTATTTTGCATATTCCATTGTTAGAGTCCTTATGAATGTGAAATAAAACAAAACACCTCATGCTAAGTGGGTTAGGTGAAGTATAGATTTTCTTTTTTAATAACTAAATTTTTATTGACAAAGTCATGCCTGTTTGTTTACATATTGTCCAGGGCTGCTTTTGTGTTCTGATGGCAGAGTTTAGTTCCAACAGAGGCCATATGATTGACAAAGTCTATAATATTTATCCACTGGCTCTCTGGAAGTATAGTTTTTAATCGGGCAGTCTGAGTATTTTGGTCCTTGGTGACCCAAATAAAGTGTAGCATTTGCTATTTCCATCAGTGAGATGCAGACAAACAGATACGAGTCATCTTCGTTTTTAATAGGATTTTTTTTTTGTCTAGTAAATTAATATCCTTAAACAATCTGAGAAAATTCAGTCTTGGCCATCCTTGGTATTTCTGAAAATTAGTGTATTCATGAAATAATTATTCATACTAAATTCTATTCTGTATGATAGAAACACAATCTTGACACAGAATGGTTGCCATGATTTGAGGATTACATTCCTCAAAAAAAATTAGTTAAAATGTTCATCCTTATTCTTTCTTGCTTCATCCCATCAACTTAATGAAACCAAGAATGACAAGATACACAGAAAACCTGCATCTCAAGCCATGATTTTATTCCTAAAATCAAGTCTATTTTTAACAGCTACTGAGAGCCAGGACTAATTTTTACACAAAATTATGCATTCATGGAAAAACTGTGAATGAATCTACTGCTTGTTAAATGAACATAAGTAAATGATGGAGTAAACTGCCACCTAGAGTTGAGATTTTAATTCAGATCAAAATATAACATAAAAATGATTCTATCAATTTGAGATTTTTTTTTTTAATGTCTCAATACTTAACATGTACACAGAAGTCCTTTACTTTGCACTCTTTTAAGTTAATGTCTCTATATACTTGGAATGTCTTCCTCCAAAAAAGTAATGTTTCTATGAGGAAAATACAAGGCTACTAGAAATAAAATATGTTGATATTTATTGGCTATAGTTAGAAAAGTTGAATCTTTGGGAAAATATAGTTAATATATTAACATATATATGTGCTCCAAAAAAGAAGTCAATTTATTTAGAATGCCTTATGTTATAAATTCCTAGAACAAAATTACATTCAATCCAACTCTTCCATTCATAACCTATTTGAAGTCCTGCTTCACTTACAGTCACACTGTGGGATGTTGGGGGGTGGCAGAAGCTTCTACTGCACACCAGGATCACTGTCAAAATCTGGGTGAACTATTCAGATTTAAATATGACAGTTATTTGTTCTAAGGTCTGAAGAGCCGATATTTTCACTTCCTTAACTAGGTTGTTCTAAAATTGTACCCTTGTCAGAAACCTTGAAATTAATGCAGTCGCCATCACAGAACCCAGCCAACTTAATAAATGGTGAACAGCTCATTCTTATTCTAAATTTGCACCTACCCACAAGTGGAAAAGGATTTCTACATCTTAACCACCCAAATGCAGCATGGATCAAGCTGTACTTCTGTGTGTGTGCTGTACTGGGAGTACACATTTTCTGGGTCAAGCTGAGAATCTCTGTGAGATGAGGGTTTAGAAATAAGCCGTAGAACTCTGCACCTGCACAGTTCTGTGACTATATGTTTATAACCTGACTTCCCTCACTTCTCAACCCTGGCGTCATACCTGATTTATCTTTAAGTCTCTTGGTGCATGGAAAATAGGTTGTTGACTCCTTTCTGCCTCATATAACGTACTACTTCTTTCTCTTATTCCAGAACTTCCTCATTCTTATTTTCCCCACCCACTTCCCCAGCCCAAATTTATTAGCCTCTTTTTTTCTCTCCTAAAATTCTCTTTCAACAATCCTTTCCCCCTCATTTCCATTATTCTCTTTGGGACCTCCATAACCCAATCTCTTGAGTACATATTTGTACTTAATCCTGACTATTTTTCACAGCTTTCCTCCACCTCCTCTGAGTTCTCCATAGGTGTCTCTGCATCTCTTCCAGCTTCCCTTAGGAAATGCTTGCCTGTGCTGCTTCTGCAGTCAGCCAGAAAGGGTTTCTCCTCACTCTCTAGCAATTTCTGTGTTGTTAAATTATATATCACTTCCCAGGATTTGATATTTGCACCTTATTCTTTCAGTTCAACTTGCCTAGAAGCCCCCCTACACGTTTTTTCTTTTTCTTCTCCCCCTTCCACTAAGCCATTTTTGTCTGTTTTAGAGGATTTCAATGCTCAATCTTCATTGCCCTTTTGGTTTCTACCCCTACATCCAACCATAACTCAGTGTCTTGCCATTTATATTGAAACATCTTACAGCATGAATTGAATTCTACCCATGTGAAAGGCATTATTCTCTGTGCTTTGCAATATTTATTTCATGTTTTTAAAAAGCTCCATGAACCAGGTATTACTATGTCCCCAGTTTGCAGATAAGAAAACTTATGCATGAAAAGTTTTAAGTAATTGATCCAAGGGGACATAAGTAGTAAATAATGAAGCTGGAATTTGAACATCAAAAGGTTAGTCTCCAAGAGCCCATAGACTAGTCACTAGGCTCTGCTGCTTCTCTGCCTCAGCCCTTCTCTTAACTTTTCTTCCTGGCTAGTTCTACTGCACACTAGCCATGAACCTCAAAAGACAAGGGACCACTTAGATTTACGTTGTTTTGAGAAGAGACTGGGAAAGTCATCTTACCTCAGACTACTGCAACAGAAGCACCACAGGCGGCACTACTGTGAACAGAAAAATGGTAGGAAGGATTTGGAATCTGACAGGCTGGGATTTGATTCCAGGATTCACCACCTGTGTGAATACAAGGTAATTCTCTTTCTATTTTCTTCTCCTTTCTACTCCCAATCATGTCTCTTCCTATCTATTACTTACTTTTGAGTGGCTGCTATCTGAACTGATAAAGGTCTGGAGCCCCAGACCCTAACCTTTCTCCCTTAATCTCTCCTAATTGTTCACCCTTGTAATTTTTGACTCGTGTCAACATCTGCTAAATGGCAGGCCATTTTTTAAAACAAAACTTTCTAGAAGTAATAAGTAAACCCCTAGAGAGCAAAGGATATTTTCTACAGGAAATAAGTGATAAATGGGAAAACTGTGAGTCGGTGCAGGGTGATTGGAGGAGCTGTGGGCGAGGCTGCTTTATAGGGATCTCATCAGAGGGAAAGCGAGGGGGCGGAGTTCTCACCCATCCTGTGCAGCTGTGCTGCTCAGTGCACCAGATCAGGGCGCTTCTGCCTGTGGCCGGGCTTCTGCAGTGCCGGGCGCAGCATCTCTGCACAAGGCCCGCTGCCACCGCCATCTTGAATCAAGGTATCAGGTGCAGCTGTTCTGCGCTGGGAACTCTAATCCCACCTGTTAATCCCACAGGCAAGTGAAACCGGACTACGCACAAAAGAAGAGGGTAGACCTTAACTCATCATATAGATTCCATCTCATTTTTCCAGGCGACCCCAGTGGGCTTTGCCAGTGACAAAATGCCAGGTATATTGTAAGTGCTCAATAAATATTAGCTATTGTTTTCATTACTCTCCTGTGGGTCTATCACTTGACAATTAGAAGCCTGACTAATATTCTATGCAAATAAAAACAATAGGACATGCCAGCTGGAGAAGTGGACACGACTCTGCTTTCATAATTGTATTTTTCATATTAACGTAATAGATCATACTACTCACACACCAATTGTATTACTTGAATTTTGACCTATATTAGCATTTTTTTTATGCCATAGTCTGAATAGGGTTCTCAGAGTATATCCTATAAGGGGAAACTTTACCCAATACCAATATTTCTTAATAAATATGTAGCTCAGACCATTTGCATATATTAATATATTTTCAAATAATGAAAATACAATATAGTCAGGTGCATGTTCTTGGTGCTTAGAAAACAAAGAAATAATTTTCTAGGGGATTATTTTGGGGTGTATTATTGCCTAATGTCATATCCTAGCCCAGGCAAAGAAGAAACCTGTGGATGGGTCTGGTCAGTAAAATGGGCCCATGGCAGAGTTTCTGGTTCTGTCTGACCTAGGAAGTAGCATCAAATATGGGCAGAAAATTCAAGAGCAATTGTGCACCAAAAAAAAAAATGCATACTCACAATTGTTCCTGAGGAAAAAAATCAGAAATCCTTCATGATCTTGGCAGCAGTTGATCTTGAAAATAGATGGGGCCACTAAATACAATCAACAAAAGTGATCAGGGAAAAGATGAATTTGAATTAATTTTTTCCACATGGTTTTCTTTCTAAAATAATTATTTTTATTAGTCTAGCCACACATACCAAAGTTTTACCCTGAGTATGATAATACCTTAAAGGCATTATTCTACCCATGAGACGCATCAGAAAACTGTGGGTGGTGTGAAAAGATACAAAGAAACAAGAGTTCAGAGCCACGTGAGTACTTGGGAATGCTGCTAGACCCATGAGCCACCAAGGTTACTGAGTCAGTACTGAGTACTGACTCTCTGTGCCTGCATTTCCTTATCTGTAAGACAGGGACAGTAATAAACCTATGGCAAAAGGTTGTCTAGAGAATTAGGACAGATAATACATGGAAAAACTCTTCAAACAGTTTCAGAACATAGTATTTTCTTATTAAATATTAGTTATCATCATCATCATCATCATCATTTGCATTTAAATTTCAAAATGGACCATCTGAGTACTTGTTCCCTGGAGGCATCTTCCAGCGATGGTCACTTTGAAAATGTTCCCATCTTAAAATTTTTCACATCTACTGTGAAGTGTTAACCTTGTCATGGAATGACCATACCTTTTCTATTTTTTTTTTTTAGCCTGAGATTATTAAAGACACAGCAGTAGAAATTCCCTTAGTATTAGTGAAAGGGAACTGATAATTATTTTCTTCTTTACATTTATTCCAGTCTAAAGATTTGAAAGCCTTTTGTCAACACAGCTCCCAAGGAAGTTGTGCTAGTTCTTCACCTTTGAGAAGGGCTTGGTATTTTCAAAGCAACCTCAAATATTAATTAAACAACATCCTTATGAAGCAGGGCAGTACCTTTATCTTTCAGAATATGTAAACAGGACACAGTGAGGTAAAATAGTAATTTGCCTTAGGTCATGAACTAGCTCATTTGAAATGGCTTCCTGTCAGTTAACTGGTCTGTGCCTCAACCTGATAGGCCAAACTGCAACAAACAAAGTATCAAAATACTACTTTGTGTATTGTTATATTTGGTGAGTCATTGGTGTATCCTGTCCTGTGCCTCCTGAATCTGAGCTTTGCCTCTCATGTTCTCACTGCCTGAGGTAACCTTTTTTCCCTAGCCCTTTATGTTTCTAGCTAATTTCCACTCATGTTTTATAACTTAACTCATATGTACCCTCCTCTAAGAAGCCTTGCCTAAACTGCTGGCTGATTCAGAGCCTCTTATTCATTGTTCAGAAAGCACTCTGGATCCCACAGTGTAGCTCTATTGTGACAATGGCCTTTTTGAGAGAAAAATATTATTCTCTGTCTTTATGTTCTTGAGCATGATACTGAGCACATAGTATTTGTTGAACAAATATTTTTGAATAGAGAATGTATAAATGATAAATGTGTTCGTCAGGTTAGGAAAGGAGATACCATAATAACAAACCCAGATTAAGTTGATTTCTCACTTAAAAGAAATGTGCAGCACAGAGCAGAAGGAGGCTCTGCCCCAGTAACTCAAGGTACAGGCTGACAAGACTCCACCATCTTGTGGTGCTGGATTGTTGGAAGCAGGTAGACTTCTAGGTTGCCAAGACAAGAGAATTAAATGCTGGAGGATTGCATACTGGACATTAAATTCACCTGTGATAGTAATTTCCATCCAAAAATCACCAGCCAGAACTACTCACATAGGTCCTAACGTAGACAGACAACGTCCCTCCTTGTCCTAGCTCCTTAAATCCCTAGCGTGAGTGAATTTAATGGCTGGCACCGTGGCTCTTCTTTGGCAGCCTGCCTTTGAGCTGCTGGAACTGCTCTGCACAGAGAGCCAGAAGTGCTTGGCATTCACATGCCAGTGACTTTTGGTTCATTAATGACCGTTTTGAGCTCAACTCTCTTTCCTCAGCTTAGGACAACTCAGAAGTATCACTCACCATCCAAAATTCTCCTGTGGGATCATGTTAAAGCCTGTCCTATGTGGGACTTGTGCCTTAGCTTATACTCTTGCTCGACTTTATTTCATTTCTTGCTTTGCTTCCATCACTTCCTTATTAGTCTCTGTGGAGAACATTTTCTTAATACCTCACTTTCACACATATTCTTGTCTTAAGACTACATCTGGGGAGCTCAACCTATGGCAGTGCCACCTAACTAAAAAGTGGGCAGAGAAGCATAATGCACATTGTTTCTAGAAAGAGAACTGATAGAGGTGAGCTTTGTGATGCCTACCTACCACAGCATAATGAAGAGCAAGTAGGTGATTAAACTAATGGTCAAATGACATGGGTTTAGCCAGCTAACTTGATTAATGAGGACTGGATGCGGAGAAGGAGGACAGGATTGCATGGGCAAAGGGTCACTGAGAAGACTGACTTCTCTCTTGGGGAAGATGCTGAGGAAGCCAGGCCAGTAGTCCAAATTGCAAAGTTGAAAGAAGCCCTGGTCTCCTGGGCTTGGTTCTAACAGGTAATAATAGAGATCAGAGATCAGAGGCAATACAAGGAGTCCATGTCACATCAGGGTAATAAACTGTATTTACAGGGAAATGTAAATACTGGAAGAAGTTGATTTGATGATTCTGGGTTATTATTTAGGGAAAGGCTTTAGTCAATGACTAATGGTATGGGGACTTGAGGAAGAAGACATGATTTTTTTTTTAGTGGGAAGACAGTAGTAAATTCTATGCAGGGACCCTGAGTATTAGAGAAGCAGGCTAGAGGTCCCAGTCTTCATGAAATGCCAGGTAGGAAAGCAAAGACAGAATATGAAGTATTAGAAGTGAGCAACACTGTGAGGGGTAGAGGAAGTCTGCACTTAGAGACACATCTGCCCAGGGTGCACAAACACTCTAGGATACTGATCCTATAGTCCCAGAATTCAGGCCAGATATCTCTGACTGATTTTCCCTGCTCTGGTGAGGATAGCCTCAACCTCCCATGGAACAGAAATTCTTTCAGCAATAAGGGCTGGGAAGTCACATATTTCCTTTTAATGCTTCTGAATATTGAGTCATAGTTAGACAAGTTTTCCATACACACATGTGTTAAATAAATTCTCCCATGTTTTTCTCTAGTACTTACATGATTTAATATTTTACATTTAGATAATTGATGTATTAAGAGTTTTCTCTTATGTTTGGGTGAGGTATGTGTCTAATTTTGTCTTTTTCCAAAATTCTATCTAATATTCTTGTACATTTTTTATAAGTTCATCATTTATCTCAGTGATTTAAACTGCCATCTTTATCATGTACTTAATTCCACATGCAGTTGGAGGTATTTCTGGACTCGGTATTCTATTCCATTGGTCTCTCTATTCATGCATCTACTCCCTGCTATTTTAATTATAGAGGCTTTATAGCCTGTTTATATCACATAGGGCTAGTCCTCACTCACTTAGAGTTTCTTTGTTTAGCTACTCTTGCATGTTTATTTTTCCGTTTTACTCAGAGTCACCTATCTTCACCAAACAAACAAGTAAATTTCAGAGTATTTTTACTAGGACAACATTAAATGTACATATTAACTTGGAGTGAATTTACATCTTTATAATTTTGAGTTGTCCTATTAAAAAATAAGGGGAGTCTTTCCATTTCTTCAGGTCTACTTTCTGAGTTTTAGAGTATTTTAGTTTTCCTTACATAGGTTAAACACTTTTTAGTTAAGACTATTTCTAAGTATTTATATTTTGGTTGTTATTATGAATATTTTTTCTTCAATTATATATTTTAAGTGGTTATTTTTTATCTGTGAAAGCTATTGATTTTATGTTAATTTAATATCTGCTACCTTATTAAAAGTTATTTCCTTCTTTTTGTTAGTCTTAGCATTGATTCTCCTCTGTTCTAAGTATACCAACATATCATACGTTATTAGATATGGTTTTGCTCTTTCATTTTTGATTCTTACACTTCTGCTTATTCTCTCTTGTAAGACTGAATTGGCTAACACCTCCAATTGAAGTTTAACAGTAGTAGAGCCAATAGGCATCTTTGCCTTTTTCTTGACTTTGATGGGGATGCCTCCAGTGATTCTTTACATATTTATCATGTTATGGAAAGATGTATCAATTTATAGAGCTTTTAAAGCATATCTAGGCATGTGTCTGGATTGAGGACTGAGCATCTCTCTTATAAAAATCTTCAAAACTGATTCTAATACAGTATAAACTTTCATTTGAGTTTATGTTCCATAACAATATAAGTAAGTACATTAATCAACTGCACAGACATTTGAATCACATCTTGTGTAGGACCTGTGGATACAAAGATAGGCTTCTTTCCTTCAATGAGCTCAATTTTATAGAAAAAGGCCTACAAACTAATGACTAACTACAATATAATTATTACATTGCAGGAAGTGTCTCATTACTAGTATCTTTGCAGAATGCTGTCTTTATCTAGAGAGTTTATAAAATATGAACTCTTAAGTTTTACTAAATTGCATCCTATAATACTGTTAATCTCTGCTTTTAAATATAATTTAAAATTGACCTTCATTAATAGTCACTGAGTAAAAAAGTTACAATGTCCCACAGAAATTCTAAATTTCCTGCCTTACTTCCCCCTCACCCCACATGTTATTTTCAAATTGTAGAAGTATTAATTATGGCGAACAGTCTAACTTCATTTGTTGATTCCTGGTACTTTAATAATTATTTTATCACCAAAGACCAATCAGTTGTCTATTAAACAAAGTTATGCAAACCGTTCTCTTATTTTTTTAAAGGGTTTACACTAACATTTTAAATATTGTGTTCTGACCCCAAATCAACTCTGAGACCCATGTTTTTCCTCACAATGCCTGTTGCCTTCATTCTTTTAAAATTTCCCACTTTCAAATTTGAGGAGAGTAGAAAAGATGGTCTTAATGCTCCAGGGTAGGGGATAGAAGTGGAATTTTTGGAAAAAGAAGAGACGAAATTTTAAACTTAAAATGGACTGTAGAGTTCTTAAAGTTAGACATATTGAAGTAAACTTTTGGCCTCCTATGTACTTGAACTTGAACTGTTGCAACATTTGGTTGTCTTTCTCCCCCACCCTTACAGGTTTGCTTTCTGTCTATTGGGTCTGAGTTACCATCTGTTTGTGAGTTACTTGTGAATCAGAAAACAGAGAGGTCAGGATATGGTATGAGAAGAGAAAGTACAAAGGTGATTGCTTAGGACTAATTCTAGATGCTGTATTTCAGGAGAGACTGGTAAAGAGGAGCTTAAGACTTTTTTTTTAGCTTACTGATCCCAGTTTATTAAAATGAAATAGTAGCAAGGGCAGGGGTTCTTTCCAGAAACAAAGGTTATTAATTTGGCTAGGATGTTAATCTTGCAAGAACAAGCTTGCAAATGAGAAATAGGTAGAAGAAGAAACCCAGTAGAGGACAGTGTACCAGGCCTCTAGTAGGAATCTTGTCAGCTATGAAAGATGTCACATTATTTGCCCTTCTTCTGGAAATGTCAATTGATTGTTTTTTTGCCATTTAGTATTATCACCTTTTTATATGTAGGAGAAAAACTTATGCACCTATTTAAGTAACTTGTATGAAATAAAAAATGGTATTCAATCATTACCCTTCTGAAATATAACATTAACTTCCTAAATGTTTGGAACACTGTTCATATGAATTTCTTTTTTGATAGTTTCTCTACACTTCATGGGGTAAGTGTATTAAGCATATCAATGAACTGTACATATCATCTGCTTGTAATTTTCTCCCTGATAGTAGAAAAGTAAAAATATTCCAACTCTTAGTCAGTGCTGTGTATATGAGAGCGTGTGGTGTTTTATATACTCCTCAGTATCTATGTAGTCTTTAGTGTGAAGAGTTGCCACATGGATCTGTTGATTATTTATTTTGCCTTTTTGAATTCTCTTTGCATGTTACCTTGAATAGTGACTTTAATATATATCAAGCTCAGTTTATACAGTATTTTTAGTTTGGGATACATTTCTACTTTTGATGTCAGTGTAGAGCATCTTATAGGAGAAATGAATGATATCAATAAGTAGATAATGAAGAATAAGAATAAGAATATTTCTCATCCCAAACCAGATTTCTTTGCCTCTAACTTTATCTTCTTAGAGCTGAACATCTAGGGCCATATTAACTTGTACTTCTGTTATAATGAACTATCCTGAAAATCTGAGTTCTGTTGTCAGAAACATCCAGGGGTCAATCCCTTACTCTGATTGTACCAAGCCTTTCTTTTAAGCTATATGTTAGAGGATGGGAAAATATTGTTTGTTTGGTGATAAGGGCCTTCACAACTTCCTGTGTCATGCTTATCTATCAAGCTATTTGTATATGTTTGGATTAACATTATAGCCAATAGCATAAGAAGTTTCCATGAAGACACTTATAGACTCCAAGAATGTTAGCTATCCTTATCAACTGCCCATTAAATAAGTGTAATCTACCACAGCCTTAGAATTAAGGATAGAATTTTTTCTCTGTGCATTGATTAATCATTCTCAACTTAATGGTTTATATGATTTAGAGAAGCAACACTAAATTTCAACTAAGAGTAAAGTTTAAGTGTAGTCATTTCTTTCTTAAAAAGATCCAGTTAATTTGATAGCTTTAGTTCTTAAGCTCTCATTGCTAGACTTTACCAACTAACCTGATATCTTAGTCTAGTTGTATTCAGTGTAAGCCTTAAACATTATTTATTGACTTCTGCCTTAACAGGATATTTGTAATGTTGCCTATTGGCTCTGATGACAAAGTGTTTCCATTTTTTAGAAACTTAAATGTATCACATTTTAATTTTCAAACCAAATTTATTTTCAAAGAAAATTTGACTATATTTTAAATGAGATTTAAATAATTTCTTTTTAGTGCAATAGGTACAATCAACCAAAACTCTTAGAAAGGCTAACAAAATATTGCTTCAGTTAGGTGAGTGGGACCTGCACAGCCTCCTATGTCATGCTTATCCAAGCAATAAATTACTTTCTTTGGACAAAAATCATCCTCTGAAATTGCTTTACCTTTTTCTGAAGTAAAGGTATTGAATGCATCATATTGGGAGCACTTTATTTTGCTTTTTATCAAATACAGTTATTTTCCACTTGAGAGCTAACATCACAGGAGAACAAGGTGGGTTTCTTAAATTTCACTGTTTTCTCATTCATATTGAGCCCAGTTTTAATTTACCCCAGTAAAGATTCTTACTGCCCTATAGCTTAATTTAATTAGCCTCTTAACCCAGAAGTCTTTTTGAAAGTAATTTTAAAACAACTGAGCTATATTTATCAGATTTGGATTTAATGCCTGATATTATTGATTATTTCTAAAGATAGATAAGAGTAATTTTTAAAATACTTTAAAATGAGAATATTTTTAGAATATAGATACTGACTTCTTATTAGATGCTCAACTTCCTTGAAGTTTCATAAGTCAAGTGAATAACAAGTGCCTCCCATTTTAGTCTCTCTTGAGAAATATGCTAGCAATATCACACGTGTAGAAATAGGCTAGTATGTGAAGAAGGTAACAATAAGGAAAGTATTAAATGAAAATTAAGTGCCTTTGGGGTTTAACACTCTTAGGAAGCCTTAAAATCTAGGTTGAAAACATCAGGTAAAGACAAATTCATACTCAGGTGAATGTAATCACCTCTAGGTTGGTGTCATATATATGCTGAGCGAATTCTGATACAGAAAGCTATTGGTTTAGTTTATTTTGACTCACAGTTAACTTCAGTCAGCTTTTGTGGGGTTTATAGGTCTTCTCGTGTATCTGAGGGAAGCTATGAACCCTGTTCTCAGTGTGGGGGCAGCAGGGGTGAGGGGAATGCACTTAATACACAAATAAAAAAAATCTTGCATACAATGTCAGGCAGTTTAGACTCACTGAAGTCTGTCCATTAAGTGAATAGGAATTTGCCTTAGTCAATAATCTAATATTGCAAGTAAGAGAAAACCAGCTCACGTTATCTTACTGCAAAGATAAAATGTGTTGGTCCATGTAGCTGGAAAGATATTGAAATAACTCATAAATGGCTATAGGAAGCAAAGCTTATAGGAAGAACTGATCTGAGAACTCAACATACTCTATCTGCTACTCATTTCTGTTTATTTCTCTAGGCATATTAATTCCATTTTGTCTCATCATTGCAGAGATGCTGTCTTTATGTGGCTGAAAACATGCCTGCCAGCAGATCCTGCTTAGCAACCCCAGGAGAAACAGCATTCTTGAGCATCTAGGTATCAAACCTAGAGAAGGACTTTATCTCTGCTTAGGTCACTTGTAAATCCACTAATCACTGCTAGTTCAAAGTAAACAAGTTCAAGTTCCATGGCCACCTCTGCAGCAAGGGAGGCAAAGTCTGTAACTAAAGAAAGAGTCCTGCATCAAGAGTACAAGACAACAGAGGTAAAGACCAAGGAATTACCTTTTTTCAATCTTTATCTGAGAACTATTTCAAGTCATAACCAACCAAATGTGACACTGGAGGAGAGGGGAATAAGCTGACAACCAATTAATAAACTGAGGCTGTGTGAAGGCTGTCAGAGCATCATTGCTAGGTAGGAATGAGCAGGTAAACTGGCTCTCTGGAAAAAAAATGCATGCATTTATTTATAGATGCACAAAAGTTTATTATATATTTTATTAATATAAATAATGAGTGGCACATAATTTATTTAAAATGATACAATGTTAAAAGATTGTTATTACTTGAATAATTGAGTCTCTTCTAATGCTTTTGTTGATTTTTGCTCTTCTTGTATCCTGGCTAAACTATGCTTGCAATTGACAAGTGTTTGATGAACATGAATGTTGGTTGATATTTTCTTTTTTGTTGACAAGTAAAGTGCCAAAACTTCCTTCATCAGTGGTGTGAACAACTTCTTTGCTGAACTGAGTAATAGTTTTTGAATACTGGAAGGATAGTTCCTCAATTTTTTTGTGTGTTACTTACAATGTAACTGCTAAGCATTAACACTTTCTAAGTTTAATATGCATTAATAACATGTTCTTGATCACTTCCTCAATTCTAGAAAATCAACAAAACAATAACTCAAGCCTTGATTTGTAGTATTTGCCTATTTCCATGGTGTAAATACTCCCACCACAGCCAATTTTAAGCTACCAATGGGACATCAATAAACGAAGAATTGGGAAGAAATGTGAACTAGCACACAATTCTATCGTATTTTCACCATACTATAGGTGTAAATAACCTTAAAAATATAGATAATAATAAAAAGTAGTAAAATATTAGGAAGTGATGATTTTTGAGTATTTATTACTTTGTTTTATATAATGTATTTAATTATAAGTTTATATACTTTAATTTTTAATAATTACTATATCTAAAAAATGACTAATAAAATTCCAAGAATTTTAACCATTCCTCTACTTCATGAGTCAGTCTGAACCAGCTCCAGCACACCATTACTGATGGTTTTCATGATTTCTATGAAATGGTTAGTGAAATAATAACTTGAAGTTATTGTAAAATAGAGAGCTGACATGTGAAATCAAGGTTCTACCATGGTATCTCTATGATTTATCTAAAACAATATGCTCAATAAATATAACTAGGTGGATTTCCAGTATTAGATACACTCAAATTTCAGTAGTTTTACTGTATAGATTGACAAGTTTTAAATTATTCACTATTCTGGATTTTTCAAATCCATTTTCTCTTTTGTTAGTGCAAGTGACTGAGAGGTTATTTTATTACATTTACAAAAAAGTATAATTTCTGTAAGCTTTATATTTTAGTTAGAAAAGGAAGCAAAAGCAGAATCTCTGAAAGCGTCTTCTGCTCCTTCATTGATGTATGTGATTGAAATTGACTTCCATTTCTTCACATTACAAACTCCATCAGAATCTCTTTCACACTCTAATAATCTTCTAAAAAACTATACTAGACAAAGTGGGACAATGAATACTAAGAATATGCTGTTTATCTCAGATATACTGCTCTCTTTTAGTGAATATGTTTTGGCCAAGAAATAGGAATAAAGGAAAATAACAGTGAGAAACACTCTCAGTATATTACTTTACTTTTATGTATTTAGCATTGAATACAGAAGTGTCTGCTTGTTGGCTTTCTGGCAACTCAAACCCTCATGTGCTTTAAGCAATAAAAGACATGGGTAAATGAGAGTAACTGCAGAATAAATTAAGTTGAAAACTGGATAGTAATTGTGTCATTTGGTAATTATTTTATTTTTGATATTGAGTACAGACTTGATGCTTTGAAACATTGCACAGTTGTAAAAACTTATTGGTTTCCTCTGTATACATTTTACATTTAGTCTTTATTTCTTAAAATGAGCAAAGCAAAGAAAAGCATACAATTGTGTGAGGTATAGTATACCAAACATGTTTCTAAGGAATTGGTTAAAAAGAAAAGAGATAATGAATGAGACTAATAAATATGGGAGAGATAATTTGGAGCTTAGGAGAAAAATCATCAGAAATGACTGATAATAAACTTATAATGGTAGATTTTGGTATCAAAAATGAAAGACTTTGCAAATCAGCTGGACTTAACTTCTTGTAAATGTCCATCGCTGCAGCAAAATAGGCCCACTCGACTTTGTGGTTTGTTCTTTCTGGTGGTCACAGATCACAGAGTCATCCCTTTCGGCTTGAATGGGGCTTAGAGGCAGCTTATGACCACGGTCATGAGGGATACTTTAGGGACTAGGGATTAGCCTACAGAGAGAGAGGAGGAGTTGATTATGATGGGTTTGTCAATGTCAGAAGTAGATGAAGAGAGAGAGGGATGTAATAAGTCTGGAAAAATCACAAAAGTATAAGTCTCCGAGGGAGAAAAATGAAGGAGAACAGAACTGACACAGCTCTGTCTCGCTTAGAAAGGGAGGCAGAAGGAAGGAAACAGACCAGTTACTCTTAGCTTACAGTACAGGTTTGGCATGAGACCGAGCCCAATAGGCCTGAGGCAGACACATGAAAATCACATTGCTGTCAATGATAAAGAGGCTAAGAGTGGGTTCTGTGAGATTAGCTGAATATAATGCATGATAATAAGAAAAATCCAATAAATATGTGAGATTAGCCTTTTACAGTCAAGAGAGTTAAGAAGTGTTTCCATTAGAGTAGAACTATGGTTAGATTTTGATAAATAACACAAGAAATAAGATAAAACCCTATTGGGCTCATAGCCTTGTCTCTTCTTGTATGAGAAGGGGGAAAAGTGGGTAAACTGAAATAAGAAGTCATCATTAGATAAATGATAGTTTATTTCAAGAGATCCTCAAGAGATCTGGACTGTAAAAAGCAGGAAACGCTTGGGGAAAAGAGAGATTTTTGTTGGCCATTCAAAAGGTATATCACCTCCCAAATCTGAGGCTGAGGTTGTGGAAGGTACAGTTAAAAAAAAAAAAAAGAGTTGAGTTTCAAGTCGGAAAGTTGACATCAACTTGCTATTTATTAGCAGAGAACTCAGACAAATTAAATAACCTTCTGAGCCTTAACTTCCTCATTTTAAAAATGGGGCTAACACTACTTACCAGGTGGTTTAAAGATAACAAGAAACATAATGCACCTGGCCCAGAGGAGGTGTTTAATAAACATTAGTTCCCTTGTTCCTGAGTGAACTGTTCAGTGTGGGAGACTCTGTCAGAGGTGAAGAGTATCTGTAAGACATCCCCAGGGCAAAACCTTCCAGGTGACCAGGAAGTCATTCTTTGATGGAATTCCTGAGCCAAACACACCTGTCTGTACTCCCTCCTTAGTTCCTAATTGGGCCACATACTTGGTTTGTGGCTACTAGAACTCTCTGGGAAGGTGCTCAAGATTTTCAGACCAACTGGTCCTGATTCTGGTTCATGCCTGTCCCTGACTGTCTTTTCTATCCCATTATCTTCTTTGGTTTGCTTTTCTGAGAAGACAGCATGGAACAAGGTCTTTAGCCCATTCCTCTCCCCCAGAAATTTTTAGCAGCTCCATGTGTGTGTCTATCTCTGTCTGTCTAAACTGTAACACCCAGGCCACGACTTATTAAAGTGGTTTTCCTTAAAAAACGTGTAATGATTGAGGATCTCCTTAAGAAATATCACGTAAAACAGTCCCCTCATTTTGAAGGTGTAGGGGGAAAGTGAGGATTCCTCAGGTTAGACACTTTCTACTGTCATTAAGTAGAATTAAAGAGAGTTTTAACATTGTAACAACAACCCATGGTAATAAAAGAACTTGTCACTTATGCAAAGTCCAAAGTTGGGCTTTTTTTTTTTGGTTTTGGTTTTGGGTTTTTTTTTTTTTTTTTTGATCTGGTGGACAGGTTCTCCTGTATGGTTCCTTCCACGTCAAGTCTCTGTTATCTCAGGTAGCATCCAAGGTCACCCTGGAAGGTGCCGAGAGTGGAGGATTGCTACATTCCATTAATTTGAGTTAGTTGCCTGACCCCACATACATAGATAGGGAGGATTTGTAATCTCCCTCAATGCCCAGGAGGAAAATGAAATGACTCCGCCAATACAGCATCCTTGTGCCACAGAATGATTTAGAAAGATATTATGAAATATTCCCTCTTTCCCAAAAAGCCAATGGCTCACAGATTAACAGTTTACTTCTAAAGACACAAAATGAAATTTGGAAGATGAAAACTCAATTACAATTTCACAGCATAGAGTTTCAGTGTAACCAAAGTTTCTGGCATAACTGTAAACTATAAACTTGATAAATTACCCAAAGACACAGCTTCAAACAAAATAAAAGCTGTTATTTAAAAAAATCAACAGTCTTTCACAGAGTACTACAATACAATTAAGGTAGTGATAATATAGAATTTAATTGTAGGTTAAGAAAACTACATATAAAAAAAATTCTGTAATTCTTACCTCAACCTTAGGATAGCCAGAATGGCCTTTTTCTTTTTAAATACAGTTTTAAGCAGCGTACACCATAGTATTTTGTTCAAATTTGTTTGCCTGTGATATTCCCCCTTCAGTTTCCTGCTCTAAACAGTACAAACAGTAATATATACAGATGAAAAGCAAGATGGTTTGTACTTTAATTATATGATCATAAGATTTGAAGGAAAAGCCAAATCTCATCTATTTCTAATCCCTCCTCCTTTTGAGGCTAAATTATATCAGGCAAAAATGCAAAGATGATAACCTCTTTGTACATTCTAACCATTAGAGATTGAATGGTAATAGATGTTTCAATATGAATTCTATAACCCTGTGATCTTAGAAACTAAATAGCTAGCCCATTTAAGTCTTAGTGAATAAAATAATGTGTAAACAAATGAGCAAATTCTGTGATTCTATTAAAGGATACTCTGGTAAATAGCCAATTGTATGCCTTTACCCAGAAAGCATACATCTCATTTATAGAAACACAAACTTAAAAAAAGGGATTCCTTCATTCATCCTTCTGCCTCTCCTGATAAAAACAAACATGTCCCATTCAAAGCAGAACATTTAGCTCTCTGTTAGCAACAGAAAGAACACTTCCCCAGCAACAGGAAAACCCAAAAAGGATATCTATTTTTAAAAATAAAATGTGAAGCCCTCAGCATTTTGCTGATTTAGTGAACCAAGATGAAATCTTATCCATCCAAATCAGGTGAATGTTCTATAGATTTCAAAAGTAGTGTGATTTTAAATACTTTTTATTTGATTATTTGCTTTGTTTTTTATACGCTAGATCTTATCTTGACTTTTTTGATTTCTCTGTTCATGGATAATGATACACATGACCATTATAAGGTAGGAGGTGTCTCATTTTAAGTGGAAAGGTGGCAATTCAAGGAGTTCGTTACTACACGGAAAGCAGTTCAGGGCAGCCTTTGCTCGGTAGCATGGTTTTTGAAAAAGGTGATGATGAATATGCTTGTTGAAGGAAAGTGATAGGAAAATGAACTGCAGCTTACTTCCTATCATAATTACCAGTTTTAAAATTGAAAGAAATCTGAAAGAAAAGAGCATTTGATCTTGAACCACAGTGCATTGCCCAGCGCTTCAAATAACAACTGACTGTATGAATGTACACAGTAATATACACATAATTTAATTATGTATTTCAACCTCCTAACTTTGCAGAAAAAGACACTGAATTATGAATTTTCCCTTCCAAGGTTTAATCCTATTTAATAGTAAAGACAGAACCACAATGCAAATCTTCTCAGGCTTCTATTCTTCTCATTCCACAGCCAGTATTATGCGGCATATGTCTAATATCTCTTCCATTCAATTGTGTGTACATCTATTACAGTTATTTTTAAATTTAAAATTTTTATTGAAAATAGAAAGATCTCCACATATTCAAGGGTAAAGATAGGTTTCATTAACCTCATGCCAATTTGTGTAATATGTTACCATTTAAAAACACTAGTAGTTCTGAGAACAATCTTTTTTTTTTTAACCTTGGTTGTTAAGCTATTAAAGTAGGAAGCAATGTAATAGCAGTCTTTGATTTCACCCTTACTCTGTAAAAATGGAACTAGCTGATGTAAGCCTGAAATATGTGGACGTATTAGGTCCTATCTATGAGTACTGATTCCTCTTCTCATTTCCTCCTTTGGCTGAAGGCAGAAACAGGAGGTCAAAGACCAGTCAGTATTCTTATGACTCGCACAAGAAATTGGGGACAAGGCCATAGAAATAATTAAGTTTTTAAAGTTACCTGATTTAATATAATTGAAGACACAGTATATACATACATATAATTCTGCATTATATAACTATACAGGGTACACACATATGTATGTATATTTTTTATTTTTTTCATTAAATATTGTCTCCACTACTGAGATTTAACTCTCTGAGTCCCAGTTTCCTCATCTGTAAAATGGAAATAATAACAGTTCTTATCTTCTAGGGTGGCTGTGAAGCACTTAGACTGGAGCCTGGCACATGGCAAGAAGTTAGTATCAGGTATTATGTACCCAATATATCTTATATAGATGTATATAATATAGATACATATGTATATTTATTGATATCTCTATCTACATCCAAGTGACGTTTCTTTGATAAAATCACTAGTTGTTTGGGTCTATAGGTAAAAATTTAAAAATAATTTCATCATGCATTTCTCATTTCCTTTATGTTTTAGGGCTGTGAAACTATTCTGTATGATATGACATAGTGCATTTGTCAAAAGACAGTACAAAGAGTGAAACTTAGTCTATACAAATTAAAAAAATTCAAATTATTTAGGCTGTTGGGGGGAATGTCAAGAAAGAAAGTAGACTGCAACAAGAGAGTCTAACTGTATTACAAATATAAGAAATGACCTCACTGAAAGGAGTCGGGGAAAAGGTGCTGAACTAAGCAACTTTGGAAATGACTGACATTTGTTAAGACTCAGGATAAAATAAACTACATCTAGACACTATACTCTAGTTAATAAAATTATTCCACAAGGGGTTATGGGCTAACAATTCTGATACTGCTATACATGCATATTGAAATTGAACAAGTAAATAAATGGGTGGCAGATAGTAGGAACCAGGTTTCTCATTGTTGGGGTGAAAATTTACAGATAAGCCACAAAAAAAAAAAGAAAGAAAGAAAGAAAGAAAAAAGAAAGAAAGAAAAAAGATAGAAAGAAAAGAGAAAGGCTAGAATGATCCGTCTGGTAATGGGTTAGAGTGGAGCCATCAGGATGAATTTATGTTTAGTTTCATATAGGTATAGGTGGTTCCAAACAGAACTATACATAGATAGGTGTGTATATATGGATTAGTGCACATGCGTACATTTCCTTGCTTTCTCAATTGCAAGGGCTGAAAAGAAAGGACACCATGAGTAGCAAAGAACACATCCAGTGCCTAGATCTTGGTTTCCAATACCATTCTCCAATAAAGGAATGAAAGTTCCTTAGAGAAATGGCTGATTCTAGGACTAGTGTATAATGAGGCTGGAGTATCTTATAGTATGAGAAAGTGAGGAAGTGCTCAACAAACAAAAGCAAACAAAAAACCATTCCACTGATGGGAATATTTTAAAAGAATATACGACAACTGAAGGAGCTCCCAACAGCCAAAGATGAGACAATTTGAGTAACAAAATACAATAGCATTGGATTTAATCCAAAGTATAAAATAAGTATCTGAGTCCATACTCATATAAACAAATGATTGAATCAATGAAAAATGGAGTAGACACATGTCCTATGCGAAATAATTTGAAATAATTTATATAGATCTGTATTCAAAGAGGAGCATGTTACTGTTCCTTAAGTGTGAGCTGTGCGTATTGACTTTTTTCCAAAGAGTATAGTACAGAAAAGGGAAAAAGTAACTTTGCAGTGAAGAAACCTGATAAATACTACCTCAACCAGGTGATCAAAGTCAACATTAAAATCATGTTGATAATATGTATCTTTGATAGGTGACCTGGGGAAAGGTACTAAACCTCTCATGGCCTGAACAGTAATCAGATCTATTTTTGTGATGGTCTTTTTTCAGTCGTTAAATGTATGTGAAATGCCTGCCACAGCACCTGGCCCAGATACTGAAAACAGTATTCATAGTTGAGAATTAACTGTTTGAAAAGTGCTCAAGTTCTAATTTTTTCGATGTGAAAATATTTTTAGAACTATTGACTGGGGTTGTCAATGGTCTATCTATCTGAAATACACTATAGACCTCTATGCATTTATAATATGATCCTTTCTACTGAGGTCTTGGTACCATTATGGAACTATTATTGAAGAGACTTCTGAACATTATTATTTTATGGCTGCATCTGTGATTAGGAAAGCTTCATATTATTTCTGCCTCTTTTACTCTTGAGTTGCCTCAGTATTTCCTCAAAAAAAAACCACGTAGAAAAAGGCACATGCTAAGCTATTTGAAGCACAGATCACTCTTAAATGCCCTGAAATTTCTAACTGTTGTGCTAAAGTTGTAAGAATCAGGGTATCTGCTATTTGTTCCTGGAATGTGTCTCCTCTGTTGACAATGCATTATTTCAATACTGGTTCACTGGCTTTGATATTGGACCTTGCTAAGGAACATACTTAACGTTTAGTAGAGGTGGTAGGTGACACTGATGATATTGCATTATGAAGAAACTAGAGTTAATAAAATGGCTTAAGAAGTCAAAAGATTAAATGTGACAACTGTTTGATAGACATAATTTGCTTGAGAGGCTGATGCTATACTTTTCCAGTTTTTTGAATTATAGTCATTATATGACAACCTGACTATGTAGAATTTCTTCTTTGCTTTAAAATTAAAAAAATAGGCAAACTGGATATTCTGAATTGTTTGGAGGTTTAGAAATCACTGGCAGTGCCTGTTCAAACGCATCACACACTTGATTTTTGCCTCTGACCTCTTTTTGTCATCCTTTCCTATGTTAATTGGATAGACTGGACACTGCTGTTGAGGAGTTAGACCTTTTGCAATAACAGCCACAGATGTATCCTTATCATGTGTTCCTTAAGATGGATTGTTTAGTTTAGTTTTAAATTTCTGATTGATAGCCAAAGAATGTGGCATCTCAGGTCAGCCTCCCCCAGGTTTCCTCTGCAACAACTGATAGGATGTTTTTAAGATCACATGGAATGAAACTGCAATCTGTGCCAGATTAGGTGCTTATTTTATTTTTTTAAAGTTAGCTGCTTCTGTATGCATTCTCTTTCCCAACTTTGTAACTCAACTTCCACAACTCTCTGAAAATGGTGTACTTTATTTACTTTGCTTCCCTTGCTAGCAAATTAACTTTGACTCATGCCCAAGATATCAGAAGAAAGTTAGTTTTTAACATATTTTATCTTCATCACCCACCCCCCCAAACACACACCTGCAGCGGGCTCATAACCGTCATTGAAAATATTAGCAAGTGATATAAGGTGAAGGGAAAAGTTGAGTTTACAATTCTGTCATAAACTTCTCTCCGGTATTCTAGTGACAGTAAAAGTAATTCCTCCATTAATTGCAAGATAGGAACACACAATGATCAATTAGAAAAAAAAACAAGATTCTTTCAACACCAAGGATTTTGCTTTTAATCATTTTTAATTAGGGCTTTTCCTTTTGGAGTCTTTTATGAGGATGCTGGGGGAGGGGCAACATTTTAAATGGATGGTCAGAGTAGACTTCCTTGAAAAAGTGACATCTGAGCAAAGATGGAACATAAGTGAGAGATCTAGCCATGCACGTATCTGGTGGAAAGATCCTTCCAGATAGAGAAAAGTCAGTGCAAAGGCCCCAGGGCTAGAACATGCCATGCTGTTATAGGAGAAGGGTAATGGTAACAGTGCTTAGTAGAAATGAGGTCAGAGAGGTGGATGTGCGGTAGGACTTTGGAGGCTAGCTAGCATTAGGTTTTTTAGGTCACAGAAAGAACTCTGGCTGAGAAAACTTGGAGCTAATGATTTTGTCTTGCTCCTAGGTCTACAGACAAACTTCTCGATGTTAAATGCATATCCATGTCGTATTACAGGTTGGTACAAACCTCAAGTTGTGTCTATACTTAATTTACCACCTTTAAAATAAGTGAAAATGCCTTGCTTCTGGAATGGGAAAAATATGTGAAAGAAAACTACTCAAACCAGACACCTAAATTACAGTTTCAATTTACTAGTATCTTAAATATTAATGAGCCTCCACTGTTTTCTTATTTACAGGTTGGAATAGTTATCTTTTTCCAGGTTCCTTGTTGTCTCTAGTATGTCTTAGTTTCCCTTAATATCTCAGACTGGATAGTTATTTTCCAATCTTATTTCCTATTCATGGCTTATTTTGTCAATTTCTGTAACACATTTCATTGTGCTGCAGAGAACAGAATTTTGCTGGTTCAGTAATATGTAAATTATGTATCAAATGTAGATTAAAACAACAGCAAAACTACTTTGTCTCAGTTAGCTGAATTGAGTAAAATCAGGATTTATCCTGAATTTCTGCCTGATTACCTAAATGAACCATTCTGTTTCCACAAAGTTTGTAATGCCTTTACTTAATGTTTTGAGACTTTAATGTATGAAGTAAATTTCATCTTACACAATAGTACTATTGTTAAGGTAGAGGAACAGGTTGGGGGGGAACTCTGGTAAAGGGGAAGGAATTTCTACTTCAGCTGGTCTTACTTTTCTTAAATGCCTTTGTGCCTTCTTAAAAGAGATGGAAGGATTCTGCATGTCAAATCCGAAAATTTACTGGTCAACTTCCTTGGAAACTGGTTTCTAATACACAATAGAGTACACACCTTGACAGTAGGTTCAGGTAAATTACATTATAAATCAGGTAGAAGTGACTACCTTCAGTTTCACATATTGTTAACTCATCTAGTTGCAGGTTCAGAAAGGTGTCAGTCTCAGGGGCTTCTATGCACACTGCGTTCTAGAGTTCAGTCCCATTTATTTTGGGACTGTTTACAATGACACTTGGTGAAATTTGCTCACCATGATATGCCCCCACCCTCAACACTGTATCAACAAGTCAGTAAACGTGCAGAGACCAAAGTTAACACACAAAATTTGCTTTAATTTTTTTTAGCGGTCTCTTGCAAAGAGCAAAACAAAGCCCTCACGGTAATGCAGGTGCTGGCCAATCACCGAATCAGCGACAGTCTAACTGCTACGATGAGGGTAAAGCTGATATGCCTGTATCACGTCTACAACCTGTCGCGCATCCCAGTAGAGAACTCGCCGAGGACTGGAAAGGACAAAGGAAAGTTTCTGTCAAAGTTTAGGAGAGAGGCTGAGCGGGGAGCAGTTTCAGATCATATTTAAACCCCAGACTGTGGAGGAAGCCGAACCTCCCTCGCTTGCTCCTCGGTCGCCACCGGGCCAGGGAAATGCGAGAGGGAATTTTTTCTACAGGACAACTGCCGCCTTGTCCCCGAGACGCGCGAGGTCCGCAGCGCCATCAGTCCAAGGTTCGGCTTCTGCCTGTCTCGCTTTACCCCAGGGCTGGCCGACCCCGGCGTGAGGCGGAAGATGGGCGGCCGCCCCGGGCGCGCGCGCCGGCTCCCGCGTAGGCCCTGCACCGGGGCCTCTCTTTACTCCCAGCAGCCCCAAGTCGGCCTGGGAGCCCAGCACAAGGGCCCTTAACACTGGCGCCGAGCGGGTCTCCGGCCGCCCGCCTCCGCTTCCCCGCGCGCCGGCGCCATGGCGACGGTCACGAGACGCCGGCGGCCCTTACGCCCGCCAATGGGAGCGCACGTCGCGGGGAGACGCGGACGTCGCTCTTCCAAGATGGCGGCGCGTCCGTCGCGAGCTGCCGGGCCGGGGGGAAGCCAGCGAAGCCGAGTAAAGCCGCCGCCCGGGAGAGGACTGGAGGAGCTGCTGCCGCCTTTGGCGGCGGCTCAGGCAGTTTTCGCTGCTGCTAAGGCTGTTGCCATGCGGCGAGGCTAGGGAGGAGCTCACTTCCCCGGGGTGTAATAATGTTAACAGAGGTAAGCGCGACGGTGGCCAGTGATTACCTGTGAAATGGGGAAAGGGCCGGTGCTGGCGGGTCAATAACATCCTTTCTGCAGCTTCCCGGCCCGATCTTCCGCTACGGGCCCCGGGGCGCGAGGAGCAGCTGGGATCCTACAAGTGCCCCCTGAGTAGAAACTGTGCTGACTCAACAGAGTCCTACCACCTCCGGCTGCCTGTGCCTCTTCGCAGTTGCCACTTGCGTGTCGCCCCTGGCACTAGTCTCCCTCCTGCTGTCGCTGCCTCCTCGCTCGCCGCTCCCTTCGTGGTGTCTCCTTACACACTGCTCTGTGGCAGCCTTGGTCTTTCTGCGTTGCTGCTTGTTCTTGTTCCCCTAGGGTTTGCCCGAGGTCTCTCCTTTCTCGGCTCTCTGGCCTCCAGGGCCCTCCACTTCCAAGCTCGGTTAGCATCCTGGATTTGTCACTCGGCCACACCGGTTTGTTTCCCATCCTCTACTTTGACTACTTCCTGAGGAGGACCTTCTTTTTTTCAGACGACACTTGGATAGCCTAGTTATATCACCCCACCCCACCCCCAACCCGTCACCTTTCGTTTAAATCGCGAGAATCGGAAAAGTTCAGTTTAGCATCTACCCTCCTGATTTGCTTGAGGCTCTCTTGGTACTCTCTGTGGAACAGTTTTTTCCTTTGGTCCTGAAATGGAAGTAGGGCAACTGTGACTAGCCAATCAGTTTCCCTGATGTCCGTTGCATAAAAGCAGACTTGAAGCAGTAGAGTTTGCCTTTGCTAGCAGTTCTTTAAGGGAAAGAACTAAATTGATGTAACTAGGTATTAACCCAAGTTAACACAGTTACGTGTTGTGGTATATACTGGTGTAGATGTCATTAAAGATAAATTCTGAAGCTTGTGGATTTGAGGAAGTATCCTAGAAGCTATTCACTTGAAGCCCTGTGAAGATTCCAGCGTCAGCTGTCAGGGACTAGTTTGGGCATCTTTGTGAACTGAACTAAGGGTAGGAAACAATTTTAATGGGCAGTGGGAAGTATTCCTACTTGGGCTAACAAGGAAATGAAAATATTTGTAAATGAGTGGCTTTTGTTGTGTGAAAATATGGTAATAAAGGACTTGCCTTTCCAACTTTATAAACTCTGAGGAATACGAACTGTATTTAATAATCTGCACAGAGCCTGGCATGTGCTGTACCTGGTAAATACTTATTGGTTGCTTTTAACTCATGAACTACTTATTTCTAGTAGTTTGTAGTTCACTTTGTATTTCCAAATTTCACAGAGTTTTCATTCCTGTAGTTAATTTTATTCCCATGGTTAATTTCATCCCCAGAGATTACAGTATATCATAAGCTTCTGCTGTCATTAGCAGTATTAGGTTTAAAAAAGAAGACTTATAAGTAGTGGAAGTTCTATTTTACCTTTTGGTGGGAATAATTAGCCTTATAATAAGTTTTCAGTGGTGTTGCTAATGTACAATATTCTTTGAGATGATCTTTTGATTAAAGTTGATTTAAGTTAGCATATTTTGAAGAGCTGTAATGGTTTCACATGAACTCGGTGCCTGCTGAGTTAAATGAGAGTCTTGATTTGGAAAGATTGAACTTTTCTAAGCTTCTGTATTTTAAAATAATTATATGTGTCAGTGAAATATTTTAAACAATAAGTCAATGATAGTAGTTAGATGTGCTTTAGTGTTTTGTGTGTGTGTGTGCTGTGCATAGCTTTAAGTGGCAGAGCCAGGGTTCCAACCTTGGCAGTCCCTGCCCAATGTATCATTAACCATTGCACTGTATTGCCTCTCCAAAGTTAGACCCAGATTAAATGGTGCTTGGATCTTATCTATGGTTGTTAGTAGTCATTTTATAGATTACGAAACTGAAGCTCAAAGACTTGTTCAAGGTCAAACAGTTGTTATTGGCAAAGGCAAAACTAGAATCCTATCTCCTGACTCTCAGTACAGAACTCTGACCATTCTGCTCTCAATGAGCAGTTTTCAGCTCTCATGATTTTAAAACATACTACTTCCTTGTCTGAATATTGTAGTAGATAAACTAGGAATTATCGTTACTTGAGAATGACTTTTTGCTTTACCTTGCCTTTTCTTTTTTTTTGGATCAGGCTCAGAAATAGTCTGATTTTGAAATATTTTAGATATAAAATTCTACTTAATATTGATTACGAAAAAATTTGTGGTGTGGGATTCCTTTTTTCTGCTTCTCTTAGTGCTAACTTAGATCAGCGGTTTGGGGGATGTGATTTGATTTATTTTGTTAGATCTCAAAATGTATAATGGTGAGCTAGGTTCTGAGAGATTCTCATGTTAACCAGGCATATCGTGTGCTCAAAAAGTGAAGTATACAATCTGCTTGGTTCTTTTACATCTCAACATTAAGGTGGGTGATATTATCCCCATTATCCACGCACGAAGACTGAGATTGAGAGCTAAAATAGCTTGCTTAATCAAGAATGATTTATTAAAAGCTCAAGTTTAGCTGTAGCTCAGCTAAGGTTCAAAGTGGAATCAAGTTTGAGGACGCAACTCCAGTTTGAGGACGCAACTCCAGAGCCTGGATTAGATGTGAACACTGGATACGTATGATCTGTTTTTGAAATACTTATTTTTCTTGGTCAGGAGGTACCCTGAGAAGATGACCCTGTGTAGGTTCATCTTTAGAATTCAGAAAGGCTTAAAATCTAGGAATACGATTGTTTTTTATTTCTATTGTTACTGTTTGATTTCTGTTGTTTCAGACTGCCTATTTATGGAACAGATTCATAATACTAGGGATATAGCATGCTAAAGAAATCATACTGATTCTAAGCTATCGAAATTTTAGTGTTGTGGATAGAGGCAAATTAAAATCATTTTTTGAAGGAAAATCCTGCTGTAAAATTGCTGAGTGCTAAGGTTCCAAGTTTAAAGATGCCAATCTTATGAAGTTTCTGTTAATGATCTTCAAGGAAGCTTATAGTCAGTGAGAAAAGCATTACTTGGATTCCTGAATCTTTGAAAAAGGGCATCCCAGAAATTCACCCTGCAGATGGCTATAAATTCCAGTTTATGTTTTATGCAGTGTATAGGAGGGAGAAGGGGGATAGGGTGTTGACTGAATAGAAAAGTAAAACAGTCTTTGAATAAAAAGTCTTCTAAGTTAAATTCCACAATAAAAATAAATAAATAAAATAGCTTGCTTAAAAATCATACAACTGATTGTCAGTAGTCCCACCTAGGATCTCTTATTCCAAATAGTGTGCCGTTTCTGTCACTCAATATGGAATGCATCATTTTTTTGTAGCTGATAATCATCGATTTACTATTTTTAATTTGTTTTTTTAAACTGAGGTGGGGATATCAAATATAGAGATACATAACATTCATATGAAATGACAATGGTAAATATTCATATGAAACTTTTTGGTTTTACATTTTGCCAAAACCAAAACCTTTTCAGAGGTGAGATACTACACAGGTGATCAATTAAGGCTACATTAAGTTAAGCTAAAAGGCAAAATTACTCAACTGAGCAAATTAATTTGTACATTGAACTCTGAAACCTGCAAGGTATGATAGATTAATGTGAATTGAAAGTACAGCCCAGTAGGTTGTCTTGCCCTTTTTTTTTTTTTTCCTTAAAGAGGAGTTAACATAGTTCTCAGTTTAAAGCTTTTGGATTCTATTTGTATTATTTTCATTCCAGATACAGTTGAAATATTTAGAAGGCTTGCTGGCTATCACTATGTAGTTGTGTTTTGCATTTCCATATAGGAATGAGACTTTTTTTCCTTAATGTCCAGTTAAATTTTTTTCAGGACTTCTTACTCTTAATGTTCCTCCTACAATATTTGTTGAAATATTTGTCGTCGTATACTTGAAAATTATTTGTTTAATAACTCAGCCTCCACCCACTCATTTTTAAATAGGCGTAAACTTCATGTACGAGACTTAGTTAGGATATGCAATATTTCCATAAGAGTTTGCTTCAGTTAATCTGAGTTTTCACATTTGAATGTAATGAAATATTTATTAGTGAATTTTCATTAAGCACACTTTTAAACTTTTTTTTGGCATTTCAACAGCTATTATTTCTGAGCATCAGTTATTATAGAGAACTAAAGGTATAGAAGATGGGGGAAAATATTCTGAATTTGTACCAGTGCTATGGCGTGTTCTGGAGGTTGTTTTTGCGTTTATTACCAGCCTGTTGACACTTGTGCTTTTAAAAATAGTGAAGAAAAATTGTAGTTATTTACACTTAGTAGTTTGGGTTATATGCAAATATGGGGCATTTGTAGATGTTACATAAAAAGTGCTTCTAGTCATGCTATGTTACTTCCACTTAGATTTATTGATTTTTATATATATTAACACTGATTCTCAATTTTGTGGTTAACAAATACGATACAGATGGGTAAGGCATAAACTGCTGCACTATTAGAAATCTCAGATTAATAGTTATTAAGGAAGTAAAATTTTGTGGTTTAAACAAATTGAAAGATTTGCCTAAAGGACGTTAAGCAGGACTTCTCATTGCTTTTGAAAGGTGATTTACTCTCAAAGAAGCTGGCAGAATTTGCATCATATTGCAAAGCTGTTTAACCATAGAGACTGTGGTGGTTAATTTTACGCATCAACTTGACTGGCCACAGGGTTCCACATTAAACATTATTTCTGGATAGTCAGTGAGGGTATAGCTAGATGAGGATAAGATTAACATTTGAATTGGCAGGCTCCTTAAAATTTGGGTGGGCGCTATCCAATCTGTTGAGGGGCCTAAACACAACAACAGGAAAAAGGAATTTGCCCCCAGCCATTTTTCTACCTTACTGTTTGAGCTAGGACATCAGATTTCATCTTCTCCTGTCCTTGGGCTGGGATTTATACCATCAGCTCTCCTGGTTCTCAGGCCTTGGACTGAATTTCACAACTGGCTTTCCTGGCTTGTATTCAGCAGATGGTGGGATTTCTCAGCTTCCACAATCTTGTGAGCCAATCCCTCACAGTAAGTTTCCTTAAAAAAAAAAAAAAATCTCCTATTGGTTCTGTTTCTCTGGAGAACCCTGACTAATACAGAGACTTACAGAGTTTCTTGTATTTCACTTTGAGAAATCCTGAGATGTGATGAGTTATGCATCAAGGGAGAGTCTGTGAACTTTCAGAGCTCTTTTTAAAGACACACACACACACACACACTCTGTTGCCCATAGTAAGTGCTTAGTAAAAAATTATGTCTGTTGATTAATATATTTGTTAAGAGAAATGCTCTTGAGATGAGTTGATACTTAAACTACATGAGCTATTTCCTTAATTATTAATTAATGACATCTTATAAAGGCTACTAACCAGAACAAGAACCATGGATCCATTGACACTCAAAAGATGTTAAGAGATGGGGAAGAGATTTTATAAGGGAAGTGTGAGGACATCACTATCTAGAATGAGACTGGCTTGCCACTCTATATACAACATTGTTTAGCATCTTTTGACAAGGCAAATTGAGTATTGCCAACCATTTCAAGAATTCTAAAGGGCCTTTGTTTTATGTTTTTCCCATTGATTTCACATTTTCAGAGAGCTTATAAATAAGTTATATTTAGTAATTATTTTCATTGTATTTTATTATTCTAGCACATATACACCCATTTTTCATCACTTCTGATTAGCAGCTAGCTAGCTAATTGATAGAATTGCAAACAAAAGCAAGTATGTGTGACTTTTTTGTTAAACCCTACAACTTCATATTAGATAAATGTAAGTCTTCCATTA